CCAATGGAATAAAATACAAAATAAAATATAAAAACAAATCATCTAGATAATCTGAGAATACAGTGACTGGAAATTAATTAGTACCAAAGTCAACAATATGTCAACAATGATGTTTGTAATTTGTACATGTCGTTTTATAGATTAAAACATTTTAACTTAAAAGTATAGATATTTATAATGTTGAGCATGGCCGGTTTATGTGCATGGGAGTAAAGGATTTCTTGCATTGCAGTTGGAGGAACATATCGTGTGGACGTTTCTTTCATCTTGTGTTTTTTCCTTTCTTTCTTTTCTATTTCCGGTTTTACTTTTCTTTTCATTAGTGGTTGCTACGTGTAAGCCTAACATTGGCTCTTAGCTCACCAGTATTACATGCTCTTCTTCGATATATTTGTACTGAGCACTGAGGTCATTTTTCTGTGTGAATGAAAATATCTGGAAAATTTCCCAAACTATTTTTCTTTATAATCTTATTATCAAAATTATCCAAAAACCATAAATCTACATATAAGTACAACACTTATTTCTATTCTTTCCCTCTACGAAAAATAATTTCATTTTTAAGAGTATTTTTTGTTCATCAACTATAACTTTTTTCAACTACATTATGACAAATAATCCATTAGATAGGAAAATTAGTACTGAGCTCAACAATAAGTCAACATTGACTAAATATAGTATACAACCAAGGAAGAAATCAAACAAATTTCAAAATGATTCAGATTAACTAAAGTTCAGGGGTCAAAGGGAGATGATGCATGTATAATATCGGGCTTGAATTGGGCCACGGCCGAGATTATTCTTGGGCTGAGGGCAAGTGAAAGAGGTACCTTTTCATAATATGGACAAGGGAAGCTGCGAAAGGCACGCTTTCATCAGACGAAGGTAATTCTCGCTATACATTGATATGGTTTTAATTTACCGAAAATTAACTAACCTTCTTGATCCAATCAAGTGAGCTCCATAAAACTCGTGGGGTATTCCTTCATGAGTCGTTACAACTAGGACCTATGTAATCCACACAAAAAAAACAGCAATCAAATCGAGAAATTGTGTCAAGAGTAGAGCTGTTAAAAGAAACGAGATAAGGCTCGAAAAGGTGATTCATTTTTTATATAATTTTCTATAGTCCGGCTCGTTAAAGCTTGAGTTATACTCGCTACTGCTTGAGCTCCTTGATTGTACGTTCTTACTTTTAAGTTGAAAAGTATACTTTTCGGAAAAAAAAAAATGTGAATAGTTATATTGAGAAGTGTGTCTTAAATTCATTTTACTCTAAATATGAATCTTTAAGATTTCAGGCCATCTGACAGTAAAACTTAACAATCGTATACATTAGAGTTTATATTCTTGTCGAGTAAAACTACCATATATACAAAAATAAAACTAGATCACTCAGCCTAAAACAGAAAACTCATGTAAGAGAAATATACTCATTAAACACGTGATACGAATGTACCTCATCCCCCATTTCACGTAAATACTTGATGAAACCGGTTTTTATATCCAGAGACATAACTACACAAAATTTCAAAAAAAATATACAAGTTTAAAAAAAAATATTACTTTTACCATATTAAAGAAAGAAAATGTTGCAGGTAAAAATAATATCATGCAGAGTGATGATAATAAGTAATTTGAGTGTCAAAATGGCAAGACTTATCAGTTATCAACAGTCCTAACAAGACTAAGTTTATTATTAACAAGTCAAAACCAATCAACCAACTATTCTTTAATAAAATTATCCCAAGAAGGAGCAATATCAATCTTCAATCTCAATGGCATGACATATCCAATTAAAAACAGTAAAAATCCCTACTTAAACTACACAAGGTCGTTTCATCAAACACATAGAAGACATAGACCCATTCATGAAACACTAAATCAATGAAGTTTTTGAACATTAACAGAACAGAGAAAAACTCACGCAAAGGGAGATGGCTCAACAAAGAGAGCTACACGCTTTGGCCCTGGGTTCATCTCGGGATCAAGCAAAGGCTCTTTTTCTTCTCTCCACTCTGTAGTAATACGCATTTTTATACTTTTGCCAGCTGCAAAAAGGTGCCTTTCAGCAACAAAGGATCTTGATTTCAACTCTAAAACCTTTTTGGACCTCAAAGGATTAGTCTTTACACAGACTGGACAAAAGGGTTCTTTTCTTCTTGATCCAGATGACAAAAAGCAAGAATTTTTGGAAGCAAAGAATGTGGAATTGGACTCACATGACAAGGAGCAAGGTGAATAAGAACTAAGAAGTAGGGGGAGAAAATGAAGGTGTGAAGAGAGAACAAGTTAACGTGATTATATACTGCTTAGTTTAGCGCATTCTTGGTACTTGGAGGAGAGAAAATTTGGTGGGCTTTTGTGTTCTTTTTCTTTTTTTCGTTATTGTGCCCAAAATCCAAAGGTATTCTTTTCTGAAGCAGGAATATAGGAATAATAGGGAAATGAAGAGTGGTATATGCTCTGCCATGAACAAACACATGGAGCAATCAACAAGTAGCAAGACGAAAGTATTTGGTGAATTAAGTTCTTTTGTGGGGTCATTCTGATAATAATGAATAGTCTAGGAAATTTTCTCAATTGTTTATGATTTATTGCTGAGGAATATACTTTGGTACAGTGCTATTCTAACATGATTTGACCAAAAAAAAAAAATATATATCCCAATTAGTATTCGAAGTTTCAACTCCATCATTTGATTCATTTCTAGTCACTAATAAAATTTTTAAAATAAATATTTTTGGTCCAAACGTTTGGAAAACAGTTAGATTTGAGTCTTTGACGGCCGTCACCGCGCCTGGGATGAATATTAGCAAATCATATAGTACAATTTTAAGGCTCTCAACTCGATCTATTTCACAGTACCTTTTTATTTCATTATTTGATATCTCAAAGTTCGTTAAAATCATTGTTAAAGATTCAATTTTTTTTTTGAATGAAATACACCTTAAAGTTTGATCAAGTTCTGTTGAAAATTCAACCGTTGGATTTTCATAAAAAATATATGTATAAAAAACCTAATTCATGAGAACGGTCTGATCATCAATCGAGTCTCGCCATCATCGGATATAAGCCGATGATTTTTTAGTTTCTCCGTGAATTGCGGTGGTAGAGAAAGCTGAAAATTTCATCATCTTCGGGTTAGACCTTTAGATCCCTCAAGAAATTGTCTACACACATTTTTTTTTATGAAAATCTAACGGCTTAATCTTTAGCAAAACTTGGTCAAATTTTAAGACTTATTTCGCCCAAAAAGTTTTTGAATCTTTAACGACGATTTTGACGAACTTCAAGTTATCGTATGATAAATAACTATTTTATATGTCGAGCCGAGTGTTTTAAAATGGTACATGATTTGTTGAAATCCGTCATCAGAGACAGCAAGTGCGAGCGATCATCAAATTAACATTTTTAAAATTTTGGATTAAAAGTGATTAATTTTGAAAATTTTAATGACCAAAACTAACTAAGTCGAACCCATGAATACCAAATTCGAAAAGATAATGTATCTAGGGTAAAAACAAAATGAATTTTTACACAAAAACAATAATGAAATCAGCCCCTATCCATGATGTTTGCCAACTTTTTCTATTCTTTTTTTTTTTTTCTTTTTATTTTTTTTTTATGTAAGTACTAAATAATAAAATATATAAAATACTTTTTTGCCAATTGAGTAAAATTTAGAAGAGTCATGCTAGTGCTACATGAACATAAAGAATGAAATACACGTGGTTACAATTCAATATTTTTAAAATGTTTATACATCATTTATCTCAAATGTATAAAAAAAATATATAAAAAAGGTTGCAATTTTTTAAATGTTGGATAAGGTTCCAGTTTTCATATTTGTACACGGGTCTGTTCCAAAATCGATACTTTTGGTGAATTGATACGGTTAATTTTAGTTTTTTTGTTCTGTTTTGTTCAGTTTGCTTGTGTTTGCTAGTTGGGCATGTAGTTTATTGCTGCCAGCAAGTTCCTATGGTGTTGCATCTAAAATTCATGTTGTTTTTGGCTTTTATTTAGCTGTTGTGGAGAAATATGCTATATTTGATTTGTGCAATATTTCTTGTGGCTTAACCATTTTGTTGTATAGTATAAGTTGTTGAGTTTATTTTGGTTGAGGATGGCATTTTTTGCAACCACAAAAGATCAAGAAATAAACATGTAAATGAGCTCAATGAAAAACCCCAGAAGTTCTACAATTGCTTAGTCGATTGGATGCATATTACAATTTAGATAGCTCCAAATACTAAAACCAAAATCAGAAGCATGACCACATTGTTGAGTAAAAAATTATGTCACTGTATATTTACTCAATAAATAAGTGAAACGTATATTTGTCACGGAGTGCGTTAATTGTAGTACGAACTAAAATAAAAATTATAAAATGCGGAAGCAATCAACCGATAAGTAGCAGGCTCTTCTTGTAATTCGAACTAAAATAAAAATTATAAAATGCGGAAGCAATCAACCGATAAGTAGCAGGCTCTTCTTGTAATTTTCGGTAAGTAGCAGGGCTTTGTATAATAGGATCGAATCTCATGGGCACCTTTTGTAGTTAACCTTCATTTCATTATTTTCCCGAAAATTGATAAATTAGTGAGCTTAGCTTTCCATTTACTGCTCGTTGTTGAACCATTATTTCAACTTTTTTTTTTTTCTTTTTCCGCTTACTCTGGCAGGAGAGAATACTATTAAGACTCCCAGTAGCGGTCTTAGCTGCCCATGCAATAATGTCCGATAAACCTCTGCAATTGCTTGAGGAAACATGCGAAGCTGACAATTCAATCTTGAATATGNTATGCTTTACTAAAGTAATTATTAGAACAGAAAAATCTTATTTTAATTCGTTGATTTAACATCTTCCTTCACTAGTTCTTGCTAATATCCGGATAATGTTTGTTGGCAGATGGTTAAGGACAAATGCTGTTTATTTAACAATTTTTTATAGTGATATATCATGCGATCGAGAAATTGGAAAAAAGTTAGTTTGAATAGCGTATTGTGATGTAAAGGTGTGATGATAGTAGTTGATGTGATTTTTCTCACTGAAATTATTATAAATGTGATCGATGGCTCGAAAATGAGATTACATAACTATTTTTAGACAATTTCACAAGCAATGTTGTGACAAATAAGTGGAGATATTAGAAAATGTATCAATCCCCGTCAAAATGTTGCAAGAAAAATATTGTCTTGGTTTCTAATTTCTTGACATGTACAATTTTATTTTATTATCTATATATATATAATAAGAATTAACATTTACCATAAATAGTAATAAGGAAAGTCAACCCACATTTATTATATACTATTTTCAGCAACTTTTTTTATTTTACATTTTAATTTTAATTCATTATCAAAAAATTGGATGGTTCCTAAATTAATGGGTTTTAGATGACGTATTATGTTTCAAAAATTATAATTCATTTAAAATCGGATGATTCCTAAATTAATGGTTACAAACTTTTCAAAGTTGTAATCTTTATGGCATCTTTTCTTGTTGACTTTTAATAATAAAATTATTTTAAATATATATATTCTAATCCAAAAATTCAATCATGTTATATATATATATAAAATTCAATCATGTTAAATATATATATATATATTGCACGCTAAAATTATTTTTTAAATTGCATACCCAATCAATTAATCTTAATTTTTTTTTAAATTACTATGTTTATTTTTTATTAATATGCATAAAATAAAAATAAATAATTCATCTTTAGATATATAATTTATAATCTTAATATACTACCATTTGGTGTAGACATATGAATCATAATTTTTATTTATTTCATAAAATTAAATATTATATTTAAAGAAAATAATGAAATTACTTTGGATCAATCGGGTGATTGAATTAGGGTACCGCCCACGTTGATTGAATTACTTTTAGGTGATATTTAAAATAGTCAAAAAACTTGACATAACTTGGTTGGTCCCAGGTAACTAAGTTATGTATCAGTTTGACCAGACCAAATCAATTATTGAACCTAAATATAAATTTTGATATTGAAAATACTTTATTATGTAGTCCAAACTTCAAGTAATCATATTAACAATACTTTTACGACAACATGATTAATGATTTATTAATATTTATATATCATTTTATTATTATTTATGTGAACGAAATAATTATTTTATTATCAATTTTATTAATGTACGGTAAGTACAAGATTTTCAGAACTGGACCGTCATCAAAACGATCAAATTATTTTATTAAATCATTTGTAGTTGTTCAGATTTTAATACATAATACTTTAATATATATAGTACTTTTTGTAATAAATTTAAATAAAAAGTGTTCCTTAAATATCTAAACAATTTATAAATTCAAATGTTTAAACTAATTGATAAACAATTTATAAATCTCTATTTTATTTAAATATGTAATTTTATTTAAAATAATTTTTAATGTAACAAAATTTGTTTAGAAAATCGTATCGATCCTACCAGTCTAACATACCGATGTTGACGGATTCGATAGCAAATACTTTATTCAAGCGCAATAGACTGGTTATAAACCGGTTCTCGGTCCATCCGGTCGGACTGTGTCTAACCCGGCGGTTTAATTTAAAAATAATGGATAAATCATGATTAATGTTATTTATTTATTTAATTTATCATACAATCAAAATATTATTTTCCCGTGCATCGCACGGGCCACACACTAGTTATTATTATTATTATTATTATTATTTTTTGGTTTTAAATTTCCATAATAAAGGACTTCTTGCACGAAAAAGGAAAAGAGAACTGTAGCAACTGAACAAACAGCTTAGACAAATCAACGAGTCATTAAGAAGGCAAGCTAAGATCGAATCATATGCCCCGAGTTTGAGTTATGCTCCGGTTAGTGACAAGCTTACAGAGGATGAGGTGATTGTTGACCCCAGAAAAGCCCGATTTAATATCCTGTCTCAAAAAGGGGAAAAGATTCTTAAGGAATCAAGAACCAGAAAAGGCGTTCGCCGAGTTCAAGTCCGCACTCGAGCTTGCGCAGAATCTGAAAGATCCGATCGAGGAAAAAAAAGGCTGCAAGAGGAGTAGGTATATATATTCTTAACTGAAAAATATTATTCTTTTTATGTAATGGCTTTTATAGAATTGGTGACCAATGAACGATTTTATCATTGCAAATATTTCACATTTTGCATGGAACTGCTTCACACCAAGTGAGTTAAAATGATCATAATTTCAATAAATTGCCTTCTTCTTTTTACTTATTATGTCTTATTATTATCTTCTTTGTTGTTATATTGTAGCAAAGGATAAGTGTTTACTACTACCTTTTGTGAACTAAAAATAGGAAATATACTTTTATGCTTTGGCCATTTATGAAAGAAAATCCTCCTTTAGCCTTCTTAAGAGCTTTGAAATGGGACCTCCAATAGTGTTTCATCTTATCTTCTAGATTGCCCATTTAATCTCCCAATAAGATCATCTTTTTTGGATAATTACCGATACTACCCTTGAGGATTGATTGTAACTACTAACTACACAATAACTTAATCTTTTTTAAAAATATAGGTACCCTCTTGAACTTATTAGTATTTTCTTTACAAAATGAAATATCAAATAACCATTGAGGCATTTGTAATGTAGTTCTTGGGAAGATTATAGTAGTTTTGTGTAGTTAGACNCACCATTATATATCCATTTTCAGGGGCATCCCTACAAAGACAAGGCAAATATCAAGATGCCATAAAGTACCACACGCTCGTTCTTGAAATCTCACAATATGGAGCAATAGCCGATTGTTATACTGAACTCGGAGATTTGGAACGAACCGCGAAATATTATGATCAGTATATTTTGAGGTTACAATCAGACTGAACTTTCTTTCTACTTTCGAAAACCTTTTGTATTGTGTTATAGCCCGAGTTTTACGCAATTTACATGCGAGTAAACTATGTTTTTAACTTTATAGAGAAAATAAATGTATGTTTACACGTATTTTCGCTATTTCGTGCATTTGTTAGTCGATAATCGCGATGAGTACCTAAAGATTGCTTGATTAAGCAGATTAAGCAGCCTTACTGTAACATTTGTGTTTTTTTGATAAATGGAACTACTCAAAAAACAACTTACAAGGTGTAAAACTGGTTAATATCTATATATGGTCAGAGAGTCAAGAAGCATGCTTCCATTTAAACCACATTAATTTCAATGCACCAAGTTTCTTTAATGTTTTGTGGTACAAGGTAAATTAAAGGTGGGAAAAAAAAGATGAGGCATACAGGGAAAAAAGAAGCAAAAATGATGGTCAAAATGGGCCATAATTAGACATTTTGATTCCTGAAGAAAGTAATGAAATAAGTACATATAATTTTAAGAAGGGCAGTGTTTGTTTTTGTTTTGTTTTTTGATCGGTAAGGGCAGTTTTTGTTCTTGATAAATGATAAAATGGTAATTTTGATAGATAAATTTGAAGTGCCCTCACTAGTATTTTTTTACCGTTCGATTAGTATATACCTTTGTGAATTGTGGGTGTGTGATATTATGGTAAAAACTCGATGAGGGCAATATTCTAATTGGTAGAGTCGAATATGCCAATTTTATTAAATAAAGATGGAATATTTATTATAACATAGTACATGTTTACTGTTCCATTCAGAGGGTCCTTTTCACCTTTTTTTTCCTTTTACTTTCCCTTTGGAATTTGTCTACAAACAACCCAGAGATTTTCGGTTTTCTCGTCAGAATTTGTCATTGGTGTGTTGAAATTCAACTCAATCAGACTTTAGATAAAAAATAAATAAATAAAAATACCTAGCACTAAACTGACAAGGCAACTTACAAAGTGGGTTTTTTAACTTATACTCTAAACTAAAATCATGCTTTTAATAATCACAAATGTTGCTATTAACATTTGTTAGACTATGTAATCGTTAGACACTCACACTTTCTTATATAAAAATAGTACTCACATTATAAAGTATCACACTTTAGTTTAAATTATAAAATATATGAACAAAATAGAAAAATAAATAAATAGAGGTTGAACCAAATGTGAAGTATTAATTTTGTTTTATGCAATTAAGCTAATAAGATTGCTTGACCTTTTGGAATATTGGCCTGGCTTTACGATCGCAATCTCATTAGATCGTCACGTTTAACAGAAAAAAAATAAAATAAAGAAACCTAGTTTCCTAATAGCTAATATTGTCTCACATGAAACACTAATGCCACAAATTCCTATATCACATTTTTCAATTTTCATTTAAAAAAAAATCTTCAATACCACTAAACTTTTTCTCTTTTTCAGAATGCAATTCATTTTTTTTACTCTATAACAAGTAACAATAATTACCACCGTCACTATCATCAACTCTCTCTTTATATAAGGAACAATAAATGCCACTTTCACTATCATCAACTCTCTCTCTCTCTCTCTCTCTCTCTCTCTCTCTCTCTCTCTCTCTCTCTCTCTCTCTCTCTCTCTCTCTCTCTCTCTCTCTCTCTCTCTCTCTCTCTCTCTCTCTCTCTCTCTCTCTCTCTCTCTCTCTCTCTCTCTCTCTCTCTCTCTCTCTCTCTCTCTCTCTCTCTCTCTCTCTCTCTCTCTCTCTCTCTCTCTCTCTCTCTCTCTCTCTCTCTCTCTCTCTCTCTCTCTCTCTCTCTCTCTCTCTCTCTCTCTCTCTCTCTCTCTCTCTCTCTCTCTCTCTCTCTCTCTCTCTCTCTCTCTCTCTCTCTCTCTCTCTCTCTCTCTCTCTCTCTCTCTCTCTCTCTCTCTCTCTCTCTCTCTCTCTCTCTCTCTCTCTCTCTCTCTCTCTCTCTCTCTCTCTCTCTCTC